TACTGCTGCTGCTGCTGCTGCTGCTGCTACTGTGCTTTAGAGGTGCCGCACTTGCTGCTACGGCTCTCGGCTACGGTGCCGCGCCACCTCCAGCATGCGTGATGGTACGTTTCAGAGAGTCTTAGTAGTGGCCTTTTTGCTGCTGCTGCTGCTCCTGCTGCCATTATTTGCAGAAGCTGCTGCTGTTGCTATCGTTTGCAGTGGCTGCTGCTGCTGCTTGGCGCGGCTGCAAAGCAGCACAGCTGCAGCAAGTCGGCGACGCCTTCTGCGTACGAAGCTGCTGTCTGTGTCTGTATGCCTGCATCTCTTGGTCTTCAGTTTCACTGCTGCTGCTGTTGCTGCTGCTGCTGCCGCTGCAATTGCTGCTGCTGCTGTTGCTGCTGGTGACTTCTCTTGGTTCGGGTGCTGCCGCCACTGCATGTGTCTCCCTGGCTGTGGGGCTGCCTAGCAGCACATGACTGCTTCTCTTGCTGCTGCATTTGCTGCGCTTCAAAGTCCGCTGCTGCCTTGGGATTTGCTGCTGCTGCTGCTGCTGCAGGAAGCCTTTGCTGCGGGGCTTTGGCGCTTCCACCGCCGCCAAGTCTACGCTTTGCTGCCGCCACATCTTTTAAATGTTTTGGTTTTTTTATCAAAGAGGAAACTCAGGGACCAGCAGTTGCTGCAGGCTTTAGCAGACACGGTCAGACATATACGGTGCTGCTGCTGCTGCTGCTGCTGCTGCTTTGCTGCTGCTGCTGCTGCTGTTAATGGTGTCACTGTTGGTGATGGCGCTGCGGTGCTTCTCGTTCTGTCTTTGCTGCTGCTGCTGCTGGGCGTGTTGCAGCTGCTGCTAGAGTTGCTGGCCCGCATGACATAGCTCTGCCATATACATTGCTGTTCCTTTTGCCGTTGCTGCTGCTCCTACTGCTGCTGCTGCCGCTGCTACTGCTGCTGCTGCTGCTGCAGGTAGCGATTAAAGCGGACGGCTGCGACCTACGGACTACCTTGTCTTTGCTGTCTTGGTGAGACGAAGCTGCTGCTACTGATGTGCTGCTGCAGTGCTCTGGCTGCTGCCGTGCTGCAGCTGCTGCCTGCTGCTGCTGGTGCCGCCACTGCCACGACAGCGTCTGCTGCTGCTGCTGCTGCTGCTGCTGACATACCTGTTGCTGCTGCTGCTGGTATTGCTGCCGCTGCTGCTGCAGCTTCGCAAAGCTGGGGCACCAAGACCTTGTTGAGGTCCCGCTGCTGCGAAGGCTCGAAGCGTTTGACGGTGACTTCCCAAAACCCTAAACCCGAAACCCTAAACCCTAACCCTAAACCGTCGAGCTCCCTCCGCCCTGCAGCTCACGTCTGCATTTGCCTAAGCCCTAAACCCTTAACGTTTCCTAAACCCGAAGCCGCGCCGGCCTCCCTAAACCCTAAACCCTTAACATTTCCCAAACCCTAAACCCTCAGCCCCCACTAAACCCTAGGCTCCTAGCCGTTGTAAACCCCAAATCGCTTAGCTGCGTAGATCCGCGTCTCAGCGACAAAATCACAACCCTAAACCCTAGCTGGCGCAAACCCTAGGCCGCCGTTGTAAACCCTCGCGAGGGTTTGTGCTGCTGCTGCCGCTGCTGCTGCGGGCGTAGAGGCCGCGTTCAGGTGTATAGACAGCAGCACTGCAGCGGCGGGGCTAAGGGCTGTCCGCAGCTGCAGCTGCAGCGCAGCAGCAAGCAGCAGCAAAGGCCGGAAGCAAAAGATTGTCGAGATGCTCAGCAGCAGCAGAACCTTGCAGCAGCACTAAATGCTGCACTCGCCGCTGCAGCTGTTATAGCAGCAGCTGCTGCAGCCATAGCTGCTGCAACTTCAGATGCTGTTGCAGCAGCTGCTGCAACGACAGTTGCTGCAACTGCAGCCGCTGCTGTTGCAGTAGCAGCCTGTGCAACTACAGTTGCTGCTGCTGGGGCTTTTGCTGCAGCGGGAGCCGCAGACGGCCCCTGTTTGAAACTGTCAGTGAGCTTGCTGCCGTTTGTGCCCTATAGGAGACACTGGACAGCAACGAGCAGCAGCAGCAGCAACAGCAGCAGCAGCCATGCGCGTGGGGGGCCCCAAGCTGATAGCGGGGAACTCTCCCACGTTATTGCTACCGCCTTTAGGGTAGCAGCGGCAGCTGCTGCAGCTGCTGCTGCCATAAACGCCGCTGCTGCTGCTGTGCCACTTGCTGCTCCTTCCGTTGCATTCGCTTTCGCTATGTGAAAATCTTAACTACTCTTTTTTGGCTAGATGAGCAGCTAGCTACAGCTTACTGCAGCAGCAGCTGGCTGCAGCTAGCAGCTAGCTCCAGCCAGCTGCTGCAGTTAGCTGGAGCTAGCTGTCGCTGGCTAGCACCAGCGGCCCTGAATAGCTAGGCTTTGCAGCGTGTCTTCTAGCTGTGTTGTCCGCGTCTCGAGCGCGCTGCTGCTGCTGCTGCTGCCGTTGCTGTTGCTGCTGCTACTGCTGCTGCTGCGTCTCCTGGGCACTTGGGGTGTCTGTACACCTCAAGAGGTACGTGCTGAGGCTGCGGAGAGCAGTAGCAGCAGCAGAATCCGGATGGCCCTCGACCAGTGCGAATCCTTCCTCACAGGCCTGCAACAACTGCAGCAGCAGCAGCAGCAGCAGCAGCAATGGCGCAATGCAAAAGCCACAAAAGGCAACGGCGGACGCGCAGGTGAAACGAGCAGCAGCAAAGAGAGATGACAAGATAATAGAAATATATAAAATAAAACTGAATAAAGAAATAGTAAAAATAAATAAATAAAAGATAAATAAATAAATAAATA